CCACTAAAACACACGCAATGAATGCAGGACATTGTGCAACAAATGCGAGAGCTTGTGCGAAGCTAAAATATTCCAATTGCAAAGTGTTGTAAAGTGCTCGTGCGCAAATTGTTAAAGGGCCTTTACGTTGTTGCTGTTCTGGCCAAACGAGACATAGAAAAAATAATTCTTAGTTTAAAGTGTCATTTTTATACAAATAATTAAAAAAAATCATTTTAGAACAACGGAGGACGTTTAAGGGGTAATTATAGATGTCGTAAGTCTATCCCTAAAAACCCGTAATCCAGTTTTATACAAAGCTTTTCATTTTGTGCACACTGGATATTTCTCTTCCAAAAAACAAAATGAAAATGAACGTTATATCAAATTGGTTCAGTACAGATTTAAAAATGAAATAGCAGTATACAATTATTTAACGACTACTCGGTAAACAGTCAAACTGTTGTCCAAAGGTAGTGAGCCTTCAGCCTCGAGCAACAGTTTCCAAGGTCTTCCCACTACCAAGGGACAATAGTTTAAGGCCCTTTCACAATTGGCGCACGAGCAGAAGCGACAAAATATTCGTGCGACCGAATAATTTTGTCTAGGATCGTAAACTGTTGCCAAAATAATCGCATATGAAAAAGGTGTTCGTACGACTGTTGTGCATTAAATCTTGCGATTTATGTTGCGTCTATATGCGACTGTTGTAGAATGAAAGCGAGTGTTGTAAGATAATGCGATAGGATTGCACGACTGATCAGGTAATCGGACGATTGAACGTGCGACAATACGATTAGACGTGCGGTGCTCGTGCGTTCATGCATTCCATAGTACGAATCAATGTTCGTGCGAGTCATAGGTCCGGGTATATATATCACCCGTTTCCGACGCTCTTCAGGTGACATAGTTAAGATGCTGATAATTATACATGGTAAAAAAAAACTGTTGCAAAGAATGGCAATTGAAGGTGATAAATCAGGCAATGATAGTAAAACGTTGCAAGATTACATGAAACATGTTGAGCAACAGTCTCATGGTCGCAAAACACACGCAAAGACAAATGCGATTCATCTTACGATCTTTAAAAATCGTAAATCACTCTTACGAGTACATAAAACGTTGTAAGACGTTCGCACTAACTTTCGTGCGTTGAATTGCGATAAATACGCTATATTTCCATTAGTGAACTCTTCAGAATTAGAGGCGCGTTTGGTCGTCTGATTGGGACAACATGGCATTGCGGATTATACAAAACATGCCTGTATCAATCCAGTTTTAAATTTTAAGTGCATTTGTCATTTTAACTAAAGAATAGAAGAACCAAAACACATAAGTAAAAGAGCAAAAATCCTAACTTTATCGTCCATTAATAAAAATACGACATTTCCAAGGTATGTGTATCGACTTTTAAATGTGCCATTACGATAAAGAGATACATACGATCACCAATAGATGTAAATTAATATCCTTGCCATCTATACTCTTGATTTAAATAAAGTCCACAACAATAAATGCATTTAGTCAGAATTTTTTCATCGACATTCAACGGTTATTTACTTGTTCACGTTTGTGTTTGTCCCAGAAATCCCGCGAGATTTGTACATTTTCCGACTTTTTCACAAAAGAGCGCACTAAGAACTATAACTCTTCAATAGTGGAAATAGAACGTATTGGATCGCATTTGGTCGCGTCTGAATAGTGTACATGTTGACTATTTTGAAGAGACTTGATGCGACCAAGTGCTAAAACACATGCAATGAATGCGAGACATCGTGCAACGTATGCGAGAGCTCGTGTGAAGTAAAATTTTCCGATCGCAAAGTGTTGTAAAGTGCTCGTGCACCAATTGTGAAAGGGGCTTTAACTGCTTCACCGAGTACCTGGTAATCATCGAAGTATTTTATTACTTAACCTACTATATTTAATTAACACAATTGGAATAAAAAACATATAAAAAATCAATCAACAACTAGTCTATTAATTAGCTGAACACAGAATTTAAAGATTGAATTAACATTAACTAATTTAAATTAATACTTGATAAATTAATTGATTGCTTTTCTGTTTTATTCCAATTTGATTAATTATATAGCAGGTAAATAGTGATGTCGAGATCATCAAAACGCTTGAATATCACGATGACGCTTTAAACATGCAACAGTTCATTCTGTGACCCGGTAAACAGTTCGAATGTTTCATGATCATGCAAAAACATAAAATAGATCATGAAGCAGTTCAAAATCCCTAATTACAATTTATATTGTAGGTTAGGTAATAATGGAAATTGTTAAAATGCTGAGCAGCAACAAAACAAAAACGATTGAAATAATTTATTACATAAAAATCTAAAAGTTCTAATTTTACTAAAACAGGAACTTTATCGATGATTGATCTTAAATATTCCTGATTTATAAGCATAAATTATTGCCATTTTTTCCACAAAAAAATACATGTATGGAGAAGAGACAAGAATATATTTGAAAAACTACAAGCATTGGAAGAAAACTCACAAAGATTATGATCGAGTATTTTCTTGAATGTTTACAGTTTTCTTTTTAACCATTTACTCCGATATAATAAAGGAACTTGCAATCATTTTTTAATACAATTTTCAATTGTATTAATACATGTAGCAAAAAAGTAATCAAATCACCTTTTCTATTTTATTGAAATGAAGCCAAAATTAGAATATATTCCTAAAACAGTCGTAAATTCAGGGTTGACAAATTGGGATTTTTGCCAGATAATTCCTGAATGCTTAATTTTAGCTGATACCTTTTAAATTTTACTATGAATCGTATTGCGCTAAGTGGGACTTGGTCAGCTGTTGTTACTATCTTGAGTCTGTTTTTAAATAAATTAAAAAATACAAATGATCTAAAATTCTTTTAGTAATAATAATATTATGTGATTTAAAAAAACATTCTCAGAAAATATTAATTGCTCATTGATTCTATCTGAATAGTACGAAGGTATGAAATGAATGGCCAATTCATTCTTTCCTTTATGTTTAACGCATTTGAAATTGACATCCAAATTTTAAAAATGTAATTATTCCAAAAGTTAGATACATGCCTATATGAAGATTATAATCCTTTCACATACTAAAGTATGAGAATACATTTCAATCAAACGTGTCCCAAAATTATTTGTTTTAGGATTTTCCATATATAAGAGTTTTCTAAACACGATTTATATATATAGTTCAGTGTGAAATCGTGATATTATTAAGAAATTTTCAGAAAAATATATTTTCTTCAAATCTGAGTCCCAGCCCGGCCCTTTAACCTTTCACTGTTGTAAATGCATGTTCACTGCAAGTAATCTCCCTTATCCATACTTTTTCTTTTAGTATAGTCATGTCTTCTCAACATAAAAAAATCAAAAACTTAAAACCTTTCCTTCCCATCTACAACATACGATTTTGGAGTTTAAAAGCTACCCCTTCTCCTGTTCAATATCTAAGTACCATTCACCTAAAAATGATAATAAAAATATTCTATCTTTAATAGAAAAATTTTACATTCCACTCTTTATTCTTTGACACAGATGGAGCCAAAGAGATGACATTTAAGGCTTTCTGGAAAGCCAAACTTGTATTTCATTGATATTATGTATATATTGAGAGTCTCTCTATCATAAGAATTTCGAAGTGTTTGTATTCATACCATATTTGTACATTTTAGCTAAAATATGTCAATATTCTGGTTTGAAAAGGCAAAAATCCGGGTTTAAAAAGGGGCCAGATCGCAATGTTATGAAGAGTCATTCTTTAAGATATCGAAAATGACGTATGATAAAGGGAGTAGTTGTTATTGTCAATATCTTAGTAAATAAAGATAGGCCCAATTCGCAGATACGATAAGGCTTCCCAGAGAATATTGTAGTGTACTCTCCGCATGAACTTCTCTGAACTACAAATGTATGACGTCATAATTGAAAATGACGTCAAGTCGCTGCATACTTGAGCTGTAATAATGGGGAGAGTGTCATAAACTTTAAACCTCATTTCAATCTGCATATGAAATTGCAGAATGCTAGTTTAAAATAAAGGGTTTTTTAAATAATTTTTTCAAAAGTCATATATATCCGAATAATTAAGATAGCTCTGCTTCTTACTCTTGTATAAGAGTCAGCGTGTTCAAACTACATACGGAAATATATACGTTTGACATTTACCCTTTTTTTTAAACCCGTGGACAGAGGCAGAATTCATAATATGTGTACGAAAGAACCTGGCGCAGGTTGTTTAGGAGGATTTACCTAAAATCTTTTGTGGAATATGTAAGAGAAGTTTCCCCTCTAACTGAATCCTGCTTGGGAAAAATGAATGATGGCTTTGTTTTAAAACAAATGACGATATTCAGCGGAAAATACCCTCAGATTTGTCGGTAGGTTAAAGTTAATATGAAATAAATTGTTCCAAAGAAAAGGTTTAAAATTTCCCAAGCACTTTTCGGATTCACAAGGATGCACTGAGTTATTTATGTGACAAAAAGATAATTGTGTTAACAGCCTGCGCCGAAGCGATTTATGAGGAACATTTCCAAAAAGAAGAAATGACCGTCACGTGATCCAGAAGGTCATGTGACATCGTAACAAATATGTTTATAAAAAGCCTAGAGGATTCTCTATATGAATTTGGTGTACTGAAGTACAAAACTTACAAATAAAACTCAAAATCAACTTTGCAATGCAGTGTTACGTTATAAATACATTTTCAGCTCCGGGAAGCCTTAACGGTACTGCGTTCAATTGGACCTTTCTTTAAATCAATTATACCTATCTTCAGTTCATTGCATTTGTACCCATTTTCAAATGAATTGTACCTATCTTCAAATAAATTAAAGATAGGTACGTATAATTGAATTGTGCCCATCTCTTATTCATTTGAAGGTACAATTGATTAAAAGATAGGTACAATTCATTTGAAGATAGGTACAATTCAATTGAAGATAGGTACAATTATTTGAAGATAGGTACACATATTTGAACATATGTTAATTTTGCGATCCATAAGTTTGGAACGTTGACAAATTGCGCGAACTCGAGGTTAACTCCAAACTCTCCTATGCAAAATTTATCATGTGTTTCCAATTGCGTTAACGTCCTTGGTATACCCAAAAACAAGACAATTATCCATACATGGAAAACTATGTTCTATAAAAAAAAGCAAATAATAATAATAAATGCTTATACATATATATGATTATACAAAGCATAAAAATATAATAGCACATTCGTCTTACAAAAGTTATTAGCACAGCCATTAATTATTGGTGTAGATTGAACATATTTTAGAGTCAAATTAAATTTACAAGAAACCGCGTGAAAAGCGATCAAATATTTAATCTTTTGAATATGATTGTTCATCAACGATTAAAAAGTTATTATTGTTTTTCAAATAAAACATGTGTTGTGCTAGGTATAGGCGTTGCGTACTTGTCTTTAAACACAAATAAATCAATTTCATATCAGTCAAAATCCCTCGCTAAAGCAAGCCTATGATTTTTCCACCCGGGTTTTCTTGTATGTAGTTTTTGTGAAGCATGCTACAGAAGAAAAAAAAAGATAATAAATATTATTTCATATTTGAAATGCATACCGTATAAGTGGAAATTTTAACGAAACGCATATTTAGCGATTTTTCTTTAAAAAATGGTAATTTATTTTTAGCGAGAGGTTAATTTAGCAATTTTAAAATGCTTAGACCCCTGTCACACCGGGGCTGCGTCCTAACGGCGACTGCACGGCGTCCTCAAAAAATGCAAAACGCCGAGATGATCGCAGTAGAGTCTCCTACAGCGCCGTGACAACGCGTCGAGATCTCCACGGAACGCCAAAGGGTTTCCAAGAACGCCAGGGGACGGCGATTACTTTGAGCATGCACAAAGTACGCGCCGTGTGATCGCAGTCTGATAAGAACGCAGTAGAAACGTAGTATGATTGCCGTAGCAGCGCGGTGAGATTTCCAACAACGTAGACGGAGCTCTGTATAAACGCAATGAAGTCGCATATGATCGCGGCACGAACGGAGTGATGGTAGACTGCGCTTCCACGGAGACCTAACGGAGATATCTCGGAGTCCTTGGAGATGTCACTACGTTTCTATCGCATTTTTACGGCGCTTCTAATGAGATTAATCGTCTTGTGATTTTTCCATTGCGATTACACGGCGACAGCACGGAGTTGTCACTGCGGTCATTGCGCTCCCACGGCGTTTCTACAGCGTCCATTGGCGATCATAATGCGCTTTCACGGCGTTGTTAGAGCGTTGTCAGCCAGCACACAAAACAAGAGCAATGGGATCATATTTGATCAGCTATGATTTAAACGTATTTCTGGCACTAGGAGCATTTCTGTGAAAATATGGAAGAGAAAATTTCACAAGCACTTGTTCTGTTGTTTAAATTAAAATTTGTAGAAAAACTTTTCGGTGTGTTTATTATTTTTTTTACATTAAAAATAAAATAAAGAAAATCTAACAACACAACTGAACTTGAAATTGAAAAAAGGAATTCATTCATAAAACTATTAATAATTTAGTACTAGATTATTAAAATATAGAATATTTTTTATTATTAATTTTTCTTGGTATGATTAGAAGTCTTTTCATCGTGTAACTTGAATCTTTAAACAAAATGTGTTACATTCCTTCTAAATATATATCAATGAGTATAGAGCTCATTGTGGACGTATTGTGAACGCAGCCAGCGCAGTGAGAACGCCGTGAACACGAGGTGAAAATTCCTAACGCGCCGTGAAAACTCCGCGGAAGCGCAGTCAATCCCCGAAAGATCTCCGTGGGAACGCAGTAGAACGTTAACGCCGTTAGATCGTCGTAAAATCGTGTTCGTCGCCGTAAGGACGCCGTGACATCTTCATATTGCGAAAAAATTCAGATATTTGTTGAATTTCCCTGCGATTCCAAGGCGATTTTAAAATTTTAACAACGCCGTAATGACTCCGTGTGAACGCAGTCGGTGTGAGAGGGCCTTTACTGAAGGAGCTATTACAAATAAATGTAATTAATTTTTAGCAATATTTAATTTTAGCGATCTCAGGACCCTCGCTAATAATGCCAAAATTAAATCGTCGCTAAAAATTCTACTTATACGGTAGTAGTTTTAATTTTGGTGACATATTAAGAAGACTTGGGGTTAACAATTTAACCAACAGATGTTAGTTATTTTTATACTCAAGCTGTCAACAATCATTTGACAAAGAAACCATTATTTCAGTTTTAGAATTTGATCATTTTAGTAAATCTTTATATACTAAGCCCTCTTAATCAAATTATTCTTTTAAAAATTATTCATTTATACACGTCCATGTCATATTGTCTGTGAGAAAAATTCAAAAAGATATATAGAAACAAACGAAATTACTGTTTTTGTCCTCCACAGTTGACATTTGATGGAATTTCTAAAATAAAGTAAGGCAATACTTTAAATACTATTTACAATTCTTCATAGTTGTTCAAAAAAGACTTCTTCTCAAGATTAAAAAAAATGTTAATTAAACTGGAATGCTTACCTCCTTTCTTATAACTGAAGATTTATTCGTCTAAATAAAAAAAAATATAATTGTGTTATTTATGTATTTTTAGAAAGTGTCTACACAAAAAGAAGAAGCACTTGTTGTTGTTTCAACTAGTCTCGACATTTAGAGATATCATCAGTGAATTATCACTTTACAGTTACTGTATTTAAGCTCATTTATATGTCGATTAGTTATATCCCAGTAAAATTAAAATACTAATAAAAGACAATATTAAATTTAACACAACTATAACTTACTTTTTACTAGAAAAACCTTATTGCTTACATAAAAACAAGACTATACGAGAAGGGCGATTTTTCTCACTTAGGTAGCAATACACCATTTTCATCTGCACATAGAGTTTATGTCTCCCAGTTCATTCCATCCGTAAAAACATGGACATGCCCAATTAGCGATCAATTTTAGAATATAATTATTTACCGACAAATTGATGACAAAAAGATATCAGCATTATCATCTAAAGTCATCATTTTCACAATTTATTCGATCTTTAAATATTGCTGTGACGCCATGCCTTTATTTTTTAGAATCTAAAAACTTATAGCTGTTCGATAATAATAAAAACCAGTCCAACAATATATTATCTGACGATGGTGAATGATAACAAAATTTGAGAATAGTTAGGAAAAAAGCTGAGTGAAATAAATTTTTCATATAATCAGACACCAAAAGAACAAAAACATTAAGGAAAAACAAAATGAAAAGTAGCAAATCCAGGGATAAGAATTTCGTATTTAAATCTTCCTCAAATTAATCGCTTATCACTGGTAAACTACTGTGAATAACTGAATTTAAATCTATTTCTGATATAAAAAAAAACAAATTGACTTTTTTCTTTACATCTTATGAAGCTTCCGAACTGTAAAACATGAGATTTTTCATTATAGAAACAGACTACAGTTACAGATTAAACAAAATCCACATTTTTACTTTCCATAGCATGTATGGTGATGATATAACCTAAGACTGTGTCTTAACAATATCAAATTCAGATAATAAAAAAATTATCAAAAACAAAAATAAATTCCTTCACAACCTGACCTCTGTTCATAATGTCTGCTACGCTAATCGACTGCCATTGTACATGTTAAATGAATTAAATGAAACAAGAGTTCAATAAATGTTTTTACTCTTTTCTTTCGTCTACTTATTACATGTAGATTGTTTCAGGCAGTAGATTATTTATGTCTGAACTCATATTGTGTAATCATCGGAACTCCTCCTGCGTCATTTAATTTTATATGTAAAATTATCAAACTTTTCTCGACCAAAATGACCTTCATCCAAAGATTAAAAGTATACTTAGGACAGAAGCGCACTCTCTTTTTTATGCTATTTTCTCGAGCATTATTTATACACAAGAAGTTCTACGAGGCACATGACGGATGTCACCGATCGACAGAAAAATGCTTATACTCCATAATGACAACTGATCTTGCCTCTAGTGTTTTGAAAGGTTCCTGTCTGCTTTGCTCCTGATTTGTTATCGGGCTCATGGGATTTGAGCTTGAATTCTGTTCGTTAACTCCAAATACTATAAACCAACTTTCTTCGCTTAAACTTTATTTTGCAATTTCCAGGGTGTAAACTAGTTAGTGGCTTTTTATTTTCGCGATCAATTCTTTTTGCGATCTGTTTTTCATAGACACAAACTTTACGGACTGGTTCACGGCGAGAAAATTTGCGATAAAGAAGCTCTCGCGAACCTCGCGAAAACTTCTCGCTAGCGAATAAAAGTTGGTTTATAGTATTTCATTTAATGAAAGTGTAGAAAATTGATTAGAAAACTTTACAAAAATTTTAATTTATTTATTACCTTTCGTCTGTTATTCTTTTGCCAACAAGTTTTTCCCAATTTTCTTTTAATTCTTCCATTTTTCTGACGTCCTGATAAAATCAAGTGAGATTGTTTTTATAAGAATATCTTTCGTGTGTCTTTTCTTGTAAATAAATTAAAAACCATTCACCGTAATGTCTTGAAATTTATGTACATGTAGGAGCTGTGGCGTGCATAGTCTCAATTTTTTTCCTATAAAAGTCTTTGATATCATTAACTAAATCAAGTAAAAATTGGTTATTATGCATAACGATTATCTTGGCAACATGCCTTGAAGGTTAAAAAATTGCATTTTTTAAAATATATATAGAGCACAGCATTTAGCTTTTGCGGAACTGACTGCCTAATGTTTTAAATGCATGATAAACATGATTAGTAAATAAACTATTTTATATGTTTCTATGGTAACAAGTATTCAAAAGTTAAAAATAATTTTAAAAAAAAGCAATTACATGTATAGGAAGAAATGCGACCAAATAATAGAGAAAAGAAACTTGAAACATATACCAAGGACTATTTTTGATATTTCTTATTTGTTGGCAATGGATACCATGGTTTAAATTTAAAGAATCTCTGAGGTATAAACCTCTTTAAAATTACACTCTGTATTCTTAAAGTTACTGTACGGCGCATTTCATAAAAGAAAAAAACAGGCTTGTAAAATTTTCAGATAGGATTTGAAATATTTTACCACTCAAAAATATGTACACTTTTAGAAAAATAACAAGTTTCAAAAGTAGATAATCCAGTTTATTTCATCCCATAAATATCTACATTGCATAGTGTTCGGCTTCTACATCCCATGCTATGCATGTATGCGCAGTTTTCATAAAAGAAACATCATGGTAAGATAGAAAGTCCGGTAGGTCTACTCCATAACAAAATCGATCAAAAAAGAAAATGAAAATAAGACTAGGACTGGAAAAGCAACTTTCCTAATAAAAGATTTAGTTGGGAGATAAATATAATCATTGAATGAAGATACAGGGTCTCGACGATACTCACGCGGGGCTCGCGAAGGTTTGTTGATAAAATCTTTCATTTCTCGTAGCTCCGTGGCATTCAAAGAAACAGAATCAATGTAAAATCAAAATGCACCTTTGCCGTATATAAAGTATTGCCATTTGAAGTGCAATTTGTAATTAAACTGCAGAAAATATTTGTTTGAAATTTTAGCACGATAACGTACATGTATGATTTGTTGGATTTTCTTTTCCTGGACCCCAATACACAAAACCTCAACATTTGTACCTAATTATGTTAAATTCTTCTGAAAGCAGAATAAAATGTTAACGATTATTAATTCATCGAAGAGTTATGATATTTTGCTTCTGAGAATTGCTTTAACCTTATATTCCATTATTATTAATTGTAATCCCTACAGTGTAGGCACGTGACATTTTAGAGTCCACGTGGTACCAGTAAACGACCCTCGATTTTCCGGCAGATACTAATTACGTTAATTTTGTAAGGTAAGATAATTTTTGCTCCTCAAACTGCTGACTCCAACTTCATACCTTTTCCCTTAATGATAAATTGGGTATATTCGAATAAAAAGAGCACAGGATATGCAACCGTATAGTCGCTTTAAATTTGAACTATAAATCTTTTAAGAAAGCACAATTCTATATAACTGAGGATCAATTTTTAAATGTGTTTGTCTGGTCCTTATTTTCTCGTTTAAAAAGCTCAAATCAAATTCTTCAAAGGAAGCGTTGCTATGTATTCTTGGATGTCTACCTGAGCCGTAGATTTCCAAAATGTTTAATATTTGTGATTAACTACTTTTTCTTTTAGTTTTGTCTATCATCCAATAACTGGACGAAAGAAGATGGCCAATGAGGTTAAATATTGATATAAAGAGATCAAAATCGAACATGTACCCTTCTTGGTAACCATTGCAAAAGTGTTGTTTTCATTATCAAATTTTATCAATATAAGATACTCAATTTTAAATCTACCAGATAATAACTATTCAAGCTGTCTTATATAATATAATTTTTTAAAAATAAAGAGTTTAGGCTTTTAGGCTTTATAGAATTCAATGATTACCTTTTTTATATTTTGAATACTTTGCTTCCATAGTAAATGTATGTACTAGTAATCGTTGTTTTACCAAACAGTCATTACAAATTGTATGCTTTGCCATAAATATTATTAATGCGGCTATAAACATGTTCAAGGACAGATAAGACGTTCCTTTAGATTAATATTTCAAAGATTTTGTCATCGAGGTATTGTTTCTTAAACATTTTTACGCACAAAAAATTGACGTACCTTACCAGGCATTTCTGCAAGATACCAGGGGTAGTTTTCTTTATATTATCCTTTTAGGTAGAAAAATAATTTTCCAATTTCGTATGTTTGAGTGTTTTGTCTTTTAAAAACTGGTTTAGAAATCAGAATGTTATTAAAAATTTGAATATTTTTTATACATTACGAAGATATACAAAACAAATATTGAGGAACGTCTCGTCTGACCTTAAAAATTGCCATTTATAAACTTTAGGATATGTTGTCATGGTAACTATAACACATAGCAACCAATTGTTTGCCAGACAGTAGTTTACAGCATCAAAGACTTTCATCATTGAGAGTTCGAAGAAATTCTGAGACCATGCGTACCACGGCTCCTATATAAAATTTCAAGTCATTACAGAGAGAATGTCTCTTAATATTCTTATCAACATTAACAAATTACGAAATATGTTGTTTCGCTCTTCTGCTTCCCTACACTGCGACCAAGTCAGTTACGTCATATATAATTGTTTGTACAAGAAGAACATACTCGATAAATGCCCTTGTAGTATTATCATGTAAAAACAGGATATAATCAGTTTTTGATGAGCTCATTTTAGAAACGGGGAATACAGAAATTAATTTTGCAAAATATGGTTGATGTAGGTACCGGTATATTCCGCTTATTTATCTTAAATGTGACGTTATATAATTAGATTTTCCATACTCGATAAATTTTAAACATTTCGCTTTTTGTCATGCTTATGTCTTGTGTTACACTGTCTAATGCAATATTGAGGTCAGAATCATTGTTCGATTTTAAAGTAATTGATAATATGAAGAACTTGCGTTTCAGCGTAAATTTTCAAATATATAATGATAATTAATTTTTTGCAAGTTAAGTTTTTGTTAAAGCTTAAGCTGTCATAAAAGATGAGAATTTCCCTTCCCTGGTGCAGAGTGATGTAAGAAACTTTCTTTTCCAATTTTAAAACCCCAATTTTTACTTTAAAATATTTTAAAACATACATGTCCACTAACATATTCCATGTTTTAATATACTATCATCATTTAAAAAAATATCATGGACAAAATAATGGGTCCGGTAATATGCAGAATCAGAACTCCACTTTGACACTGTAGGGCAGAAAACTTTTCAATCAATATCTCTAAAAAAAACTACTATAGGATATATTGGATATTTCGAGGCCGAGGTCATGTCAACGAATGGGCCAAATCGATTATCCTTATATCACCATGCTGAACTCACAAGGGGTACATGTAATCAATTGCCTTTATACCGATATAATGAAAATATATACACTGAGTATATGATACCGATAAAATGAAATTGTAAACAATACTTTTTGGAGTCGTTCATGGGTTTTTAAGCCTTTTTTTACAAGCAAATCAAATTTGAGTAATCTCAACAGAAGAATAATAAACTGAATTTGAATATGCGATAGATTACCACAAAAATGACAAGTATTTTTTCTTCCCCTTAAAAATGAGTATATTAAATTCAACATACGTTTTCGAATGAGAAAAATGAATCCAGCAATGGCTAATAGGAAAAAAACTGCAAATACAACACTAAGCACCAATACTCTGTTTTGATAAAAGAAATATCTGATTAAATTATTTAACATCATATTATGAATCATTCAGTAATTATATAGATTTTAAAACAATAAATCTTGCTTCAAATAAATTAAATGTATTTATTATTGTGAATAAAATTGAAGGAAATTCATCAATCATTTCGTTCTAGATAGCTATTTAGATAAATACATGCAATAACTGACAAATGTCTGATGATGTCAATAATTAACTACTTTAAAATATCTATGAATAAATTCATGTGGTGCTTTTTATCCACAAATTGCTTTAAGTTAAATTCAATGTTTTCTACTTTCAAATGCATATTTTGGTAAAGCACATAATACAGTAGATAAGTGACAATTGTTTATAACAAAAAAAATTGCATAAAAAAATCATAAATATCAAGCATTATATACTATCAAGAAAAATCTAGTTACAAATATTTACTTATTCTAATTATTTTCCAAAATGAAAACAGTATTGTAAAACGCTAAAGAAACCCAAGAGATGTAATTTTATTGTTAAATATTAACTTTATATACCTAGTAAAATAAAACTCCGTGGACCTTTAAGTTACATCGGTCAAGACACCATGTACAACAATTGCTATTCTACGAGTATTAAATATTTTCTAAGATGCACAAATTCTGACGGTTAATGCCAAATGTTTTGTGTAACGTGCAATTTTAGTTTCTGTTTAAAGAGCTGAAACATGACTTTATTGAAATATCATTCAAATAACGATTTAACAAAGTAGATATCTTCCTAATTTTAATGTACAATTATATACCATTAATTTAAGTATTATCCCACCTAAAATACATTTTACATTTCTGTTGCGTGTCATCAGTATGTTGCATAGTTGGTTTACTTATACATGTATAGACACAATTGACAAAATTAATATACTTACAATATACTGTTTTGTGACTCTGTTGTATTACTCAAATTGAAATTTTCTTTTGTTGTTGTTATCCTGTCTGGATAACAATCAGAATCTACGAAAAGAAAACTAAACATTGAAAAGATATTGCATGTAAGTTTAATATATATATATAATTAACTAATTATCGTTGATGCCCTGGCATATAATTACTAACTAGACAAGTCATATTCAAGCAACGAGAGTCTATAAAGTTAAACGCATATGTTGAAAATTCCTTTGCAGAAGCATATAAAAATATATACATGGTTAATAAATACTTGCCAAAAGTTTTGTCACTAATTGAAGTTATTGTTTTAGTGAAGGAAGGGAGATGTATAAAGAAAAGATGTTTGTTCCGTTGCCCAGTTAAAAGTGTTCATAGCGGTCAATGGGACCTATAAAATTACTACGCTATAACCATAATTCGTTATATCAGTATAAGGTATTCATTAAATTTACATTGCTGGGGATCCAAGAAAAATTCGTTATATTTGTAGTCGTAATAAACGAGTTTAAATGCATGTGTATTTTGTTAAGCAATTTGATTTGGAAATCGCCAACTTACATTTAGAAAAAAAAAGTTGAATATCTAAACATTAATAGAATTATTAAGTCACTGAAATATCGTTTTCTTTAGACTTTAAACATATCAGATATGATAAAAAGAAGGCACACACACTTTATCCACATTAAATAAAAAGCGCTTCAAAGGCATAGGACCTGGGTTTAGATGGTCACCATGTTCATTCTGGAAAAGGATATCATTATCCACCCATACTATTACCGAGATGTGGCCATTTCTGACAAATGGACTGTCTTTGTTATAAAAAATAACTTGCATGGTAAGAAAATAATTATGAGTCGCAAAACTCTCTAAGCTTCTGTGACTGAATGCTAAGGAGCATGGCACGTAACCGTCTATATCACGTGATTGATAAGCGCATAGGCAGAGTTAACGGTTGCAGATGCGCGTTAAAATCTGAGAGTACTACTTTTTTAAAAAAAAATTAACACTGAATTTCTATATAATATCATTTCTTTTTTCTTTTTTTTTTTTGGAAGTTGTTCCAGAAGTTCGCAATTTTTTTTTATCATACCTCGTATATTATATCCTTTTAATATTTTATCATACTTACATAGATAGGTATCTGTAGAAAGAAATATAGGACATCCTTGTGAGAGGTTATTACATTTCAACGCTCGGTCATAATTATTTTGAATTGTAGCCCCTTGTGTATTGAATTCAGGACAATGACCTAGATCACAAGAAACCATAAATGAAAACGATACATACGATTAACATTTAAATAAATAATTGTTCAAAGGGATCTATAATACACCATTGGATTTACAAGAAACAATCTTTTCAATTGCAAGGATCAAATCATGTTTTCTGTTTAAAAATATATATAATTATTTAAAATTGATTCAAAATTCAAATTGAATAATTACCTTTTGTATCAAGTATGTGATTTGTATACTATTGAAAAAAATGACATTACCGATTATCTTTCTTTCTGGTGCGCAGACTTCCATTGTTTCATTAAAGAAAACGTTACTAACACAATGATATTTAAATTTTGAAGGTTCAGAGCAGCTTTGATTTCTTGCATGAAATTCACAATTCTTTCTCTGTGCAGCAGATTCCCATTCCGATTTTGTAGAAGGACAGGTCTCTACAATCCTTAATGTTTCCAATGATTTTTTGCATATATTTCCATCAACACCGATATGATTCTGTGACAAAACAAGGAAAAGAAATTTCCAAATAATGATAACTACGCTTATAAAATGTGCTTTATGAATAAAAGTTAATTTTATTATAACGTGTATTGATAAAAAAAAAACTTATGCCCAAAATAACTGAATCTCACTCTCATTTACAATGGCCGTGTAGTGCCGTGAAGCGCTGCGAGAATTCGGCATCAAAAGCAAGTTCTTGACTTGCCGAAAAAACCGAAAAGACTACCGTGCTGTGCATGTGCTGCTAAGAGAGAGATTCCGTAGGTCGGGAATTCAGACCCGAACTTGGTTGGAAGCGGGGATCCTTATAAAAGTAAATTTTCTGGTGCTTTCTATCTGAATTTTTGTGCTTTCTATACATATATGTATTCAATATATCCCAATTAAATAAATATAAGTATAGAAAGCACAAAGATATTCACTTTTATTAGGCTTCCCGCTTTCTCCTTAGACTGGGTCTGAATCCCGCATTGTAGTTAGTTATATAAATTTGAATCACGACATTGTGTTGCAGGGCAAACACGACAGTCAAATGACTGTCTTGACCATTCAGATTCTTTTTAATATACAATTATTGCTGTTTATTTTTTGGTCAATACGATAATTTAGAATTAGTACAATTTCGCCGAGCCTGTTCACAAAAAAACAGCAATAATTATTGTATTATATCGTATGATTCAATGATTAAATGATACAAATTCAAACTCATGTCTTTCTTTATTAATGTTTTACATCTACAGTTAAAACTGTCTAACCCGACACCTCTGTAATCCGACACAATGTAAATTCCGACATTTAATTTCGTGCCGATTGAAATGTTTCCATGTTTTTTTTTTTACACTGTGCAATCCGACACCCTGTCAATTCCAAAACAAACTTTGTCTGCCAGTGCATGTCGGATTGGACAGATTTTACTGTACTTTGATCAAAATATTGTAACACCCCGCCCATCCCCAAAATTAATTTGTATACTTGTCTAGTATTCCAAGTATAACCGAAATTTCCATTCTGTTTTTAGACCAATGTAAAGAAAATAAATCTTTATGTTCACCTGGAACGTCACGTGCAGGTAAATATAACGCATTATTTTTTCTACATATTTGGATCTCTGCCAATCAGAGAGAGAGATATATTTTTTTAATCGACATATAAAATACTGATTATTTATATGAGGTACAATGAAGCGCATTGAAGTGGTAAAATTTTCCATTTGGACGAAACGTTCTGAGTCATGTTTTGAACGTCAATTATAACATAACGACACGCCCATTTCTTTAGAAATGAGAAAGCAATATTCGTCGTAATGTTTTAGGACACTACACTTTCCGCGACAAGCAACACAGTCACACTGAAATGAAGATTTTTAAATAAGAATGAGCTATGTATAAAGTTCCCGATTATGTAAAACACGCATTGCAACGGTTTTGTTCATTTTATGATTTTATCATGTTTATTGGAGTTACTATAACACATGTATCGGTCGAACACGTGCTTACTCGGTGTTTATGTAGACCGTCAATTTCATTGGCTATTATATTCATAAAATACCTGTTCTACAGGTATTCGATTGAATCATTTGACCGAATTTTCCTTTCTAAAGAAATGGGCGTGTCTAAAGGTAGCTCAAAACGTTCCATCCAAACAGAAAATTTTATCACTTCAATGCGCTTCATTGTATAATTGATTATTCTTGTGTAAATTCTCACAATGATTATTCTTAACTTACCCCTATTAAGAGTATTACTAACAACAGCAGCCGATACTTCTTGAACATTGTCATTGTCAATTATCTGTTTAAAAAGATAAACATGAAATGTGGTAATGTGAAAAGGCAAATACATTTTCTTTCCTTTTTTTAAGTGTCATTTGATGCAATAAAAAGTTTCTTTATCTAGTGTTTGTGGATTTTGATTTTTTCTTATACATGTCTACAATCATAATCTACGTTTTCTTCATAATTCTTTTCTACCAAGAGTGTGCATTTATCTATATGTAAAACTACTTTGTTTTCTGTTCCCCGCTTGAAAAGTAGGGGATATTAATTTGGGCCTGTCCGTCCGTCCGTCTGTCCGTCTTTCTGTCTGTCTGTAACGCTTTCGTTTCCACACGTTATCTCAAGAACCCTATGGACTTAAAAAGAACCCTTATAATTTTGAGGTCAAAAGGTCAAAGTTCAAGGTCATAAACTTGCAAATTCTGTCTGTCATAACACTTTGTGTCCTCGCGATGTCTTAAGAACCCTTTAACGTTTTGCAATGAAATTTTACACCAACAATCTTTGACATATCTTTCACTTGTGAATTTGTGAATATATTGCTTTGAAGTAAAAAAAAAATGTTTTTTCATTTCTGTCTGTAACGCTTTCGTTTCCACACGATATCTCAAGAACCCTATGGACTAAAAAAGAACCCTATTAATTTTGAGGTCAAAAAGTCAAAGTTCAAGGTCATAAATTTGCAAATTCTGTCTGTTATAAAACTTTTGTTTCCTTGCGTTGTCTTAAGAACTCTTTGAGATTTCGCAATGAAATTTTACATAACATTTGCCTGTGGCCTTAGGAAGACCCCTATTGATCTTGCGGTCAAAAGGTCAAAGTTCAAAGTCGTAAATGTATACATTCTGTCTGTGTGTAACACCATTATATACGGGCGATATTTCAAGAAGATTTTGAGCTTTTGCAATGTAATTTTATACCTAAAATTCCCAAAGACCTCTTCCAACCCTCTCAAAGTGTCCCGCCCCGTTTGTTTTATTAGTATTTATTGTATTACATGTCGCTATTTTTAGCACAGGGGCATGAGGAGAATTATTAAGTATAAAAATTTTCTCGGCGGACTTTATATGCTTATCACATCTATTAGAACTGTTTAATAAAGGTTAAATTAGACACCATGCATTGTGTAAAAGTTTGACAATATTGGACGTGTATATACATGAATGTGACTTCATCTTTGCATAAAATTTTCGCCAGTTTAAAGCGATTCTGTGGTGTAGTGGTATGTCTCTCGCTTCATATGTGAGAGGTCCCGGGTTCAAATCCAGGACGATCCATTTTCTTTTCTTTCCGAAATACCGTTCACGGTAGCTCAATCGGTAGAGCGCTCGCTTCGTGATCAGAAGGTCGTGAGTTTGAATATCGGCTGCGACTGACCTACATGTAAGTCGATAAAAAGGGGTAACAACTGTTACTTCGCCATGCACTCGTCACTTTGAAGTGAAAGTTGAGGGTCCTTCAGAAGAGACCTTAAAAACCGAGGCCCCGTGTCAGCGGCAGACGCTGGCAAGATAAAAATCCCTTACTGCTCAATGGCCCTGAGTGCCGAGTAAAGGTCAAAATTTGAAGCCCTTCACCGGCATACGATGACGTCTCTATATTAGTGAAAAATTCTCGAGTGGGACGTTAAACAATATGCAATCAATCAATCAATTCTTTCCGAAATAATGTTTTAATAAATGATAGTATTCAGCACGTGAAATGAAAATTTTATGAGGTCTGGCTTGTACAAAATCATCATTACAGAGATTCTCTGAATTCGCTTGAATCTCATAGATTTTATGCAGCCCATACCGGGTATTGGTAGCTTTTAGGCGTAAATGAAAATGGAAGTTTCCATGAATTAAAAAAAAATCTATTTATTGATTTTATATTGTTTAACGTCATTCTCGAGAATATTTCACTCATATGGAGACGCCACCACTTGGCGGTGGAGAGCTGCCCTTAACTTGGCACCCAGGACCATTGAGCAGGGAGGGATCTTTTTCGTGCCAGCATCTCCTGCGACACATGACCTCGTTTTATACAGTCTTATCCGAAGGACCGGTCTCCAAGTCCCACAGTGGGAATCGAACCCGCGACGTAAAGATTGACTCCTTACTTCGCAACTTTAGAGCAGATGCTCTAACCACTGCGCCATGCGGGCGACTTTAAAAATTAAAAGCTAAATTTGTCGACACTAATTAAAATTCCATGGAATTGGTCATGGAAGTCTAGTTCGCTTTGTGATCGTAAGGCATGATTCGATTATCGTTCACCGCGTTTCCTAAAATCTATAGCGTTGGGCATATGTTGTGAATATAAGTGATTACTTATTTGTCAAGACCCCAGCAATAGAAGTGAAAGGCACAGATCCTTTGGTTAAGTATTTAAAAATGTCCCGTCCTCTATTACTTTGAGTGCCAAGTATATTAATTTTATATCTTCTTCAATATATGGTGATGTCTTTTATAATTTATAAATTCTCAAATAAATCCATCAAAAGTTGAGCATTAAGCGAATTTTAATTCATGCAGCTATAAGTTTAGTATTTTTTTCAAGTAGAACATCTAAACAATTTACAGCGGAATATTTAAGACTGCGGAACATTAACTGGCAAAATTGGAAATATACAGCTTACGTCATTTCTATCTGTTACAATCAAAATATTTAGTGATAGACAATGAAATGGGCGGGTACAATTCGACGCGGACGTTTGGAAAACATCGGATTGAAATTGCAGATCCAAATTCATTTTCAATCCACCTCAGCTACGCTAGAAGGCACATTATTACTGATTGAACCAGAAGCAAATAATTTCAAATTTGGTACAGTTTGGATTTTTTTTACCAGTGTTTTAAATGAATAAATATTTAAGTGAGAAATATTTCATTTTTGTTTGGTAAATAAACTAAATATATGTATAACTTTGTATTGGTGGTTTGGGGGGGGGGGGGGGGGGGGGGGGGGGGTTGAACGCTTTTTAAATAAAGTTGTCAAACAGTTTTTAGGGAGAATAAGTATAAAACTCATGCACTCTTATAATCCTAGACATAAAATATATTGTCATGTTAAGCCATGACCTGACTCGACAATTTTTACCCCCCCCCCCCCTTCTAGAATCAATTATCTCCTGAAAAATAATCTTTGTCTTGTATGATATTTCGCGTTCTTAAAATTATAAGCTAAAACTCATATTAATGTGAACTTCAAACAATATGTATTTGGGAGTTGAAATATAGTTGATTTATGGATCATACATTCACTCTTTGCTTTGAAAACAGCTCAGGTGGATTGACAATGAATTTCAATCTGCTATTTCAATCCGATGTTATCAAAACGTCCGCGTCGAATTGTACTCGCCCATTCCATTGTCTATCACTGAATGTTTTGATTGTAACAGATAGAAACTAGAGGTACTGTGAGCAATGAGCTCACTAAATGATACCCCCCGCCTCCCATATGAATATATTGGCAGTATTCATGTTTTGCTCTGGAAAATCCAAAATATATGTCAGATCAAAAAGTAAAATAGGAGGTGCACAATGACAATATGTAATAAAGATTCTGTGAAAGTTTCATTAAATTTCCTTCAGTGGTATGAGAGGAGTTGCGGATAAGAGATGGGTACCCCAAAGCGTAACAGACGGACGGACGGACAGACGGACAGACGGACGGACGGACGGACAGACGGACGGACGGAATTAATGATTACTATATACCCTCCCGCTTTTCAAGCGGGGGGTATGATAAGTGGACAAAGGAAAAGTCGTTTAATCAAGGGATTCATTTCTCATCAGAGTATAGATAATTCTATGTATTCTATAATAGTTTGGAAATGTTTCTTTTAAGGTGGAATATCCCTCTGATAAGAGAGACAACTCTTCTGCTAAGAGAGATAACTTTCTTCAGACATTTTGTCATGAAATTCAGTGAATTGTCATGTCAGAGTTTGTAAGTTTAATTCCTGGGGACAATTTTATATTCTACTCAATCAACCCTAGTCAATGCTACAAATGTTGATTTCTAGTTTCTATTGCTAGTATATTGATTAATTATTTATAATAGTTTACTTAAAACATTTATACTCAGTTCCTTTAAACAGTGTAAATTGAGAAATCTCTATCTCTTAAAGATATTTCTTTTAATTGTACAGAAATTTCAGATGCAGTATTGTTTATAAACATTTAATTAATATTTTGTTTCATTAAAAAATATTTTCAAGGGCGATAATGGAACGATAACTCTTGTTTATGGATGCGTGTTATTTTACATGCAGAGAAAACAATTTGTTATTCTGATTTAAAAAGTAGCGCTTCAGTATGTTTTCTAATGGGAATTAGATAGGTATGAGAGTAAATATTATTTTTATATATACTTCATATTTCTAATTTAATTGTGAGATAAAAAATAATTAATCTTTCTATTTACCATATCAAATTTTCTTCACATCATGATCTGACATATTATTCATTTCTGAAAAAGTAAGCGACGCTTCATACTTCAAACTATTTTCCATTTGGATTTAATGCTATAGTTGTCGCTGGAAATCAATGTCTGGATTTAAAAAAAAAAGTCGTGAAATTTGGAGCAGAGGTATATTGCCCCTTAATGCTTTGGAATGAAGATTCCCGATGTAATCCTTCATGAATCTTTTGTATGAAAATAAATATCTGTTCTAACATGTCTACACCTTTGGAAATGAAAGTAATATCTTGGTTAATATTATTATTTAAACACTAGTTAAATAATATTTTTAAAAAAGAATGTCGTACAAATATTAAAAAGCATAAAACGGTTTACATATTTCAAAGGGTATATTTGGAAAGAAGAAAAAACAAGATGAAAAAACACAAGGTAAACACATTTTGCAAAAGAAACGAAAGTAGAATTTAACAATTCCCTTTAGCAACATTAAGTCCAATTTTCAGAAAGTATTAACGTTCTTACGATAAGAATACTAAATCCTTGATGCAAAATATAAAAGATAAAACAAAGATCAAATCACAAACCTATTTCCTTGCTATCGGTAGAGGGGGAAATCTCAAGTACATGTAAAGCGCAATTGCAAATCTGTATGACAGAAAGGTAAAATATGCCCTGGAAAATAAGTGTTCTGCAAATATTGTTACCATAAAGATTAAGTAATTAATTATAATATATCATGTAAAATGATATATTACTATATATAATTATTATATTATTATTATGTTTAATTTTTGTCAGATGTATTTCAATTCAGTTTTTTTCATTGATGTAATGAATCGTGTATGATCGTGCATTTTTTAAAATAGCAACATGATTTAATTTTTTCCATTTAAATACCATGGCCCTCAGTGCGTTTTCTATTGATACATCTACTTAATAAAATCATTTAAATTCCATATACTGCAGTAAGTTGTTCTACTTTTGGAGGTGTAGAAACACACATATTGCTTTAAAAACAATGCATTGGTGATGAATAACAGTGGGCACACTTTTTAAAAATATAAGCAGTACGATAACATTGTATAAAATATATTTCAATTAAAACATTTATTTATGTATTTTAATGTATATGTATAATCAATACTGCATAGAACGTGACTACACTTACGTATTTTTGAACAAAAAGCTAATTTTTCCTTATGACCATAATTTTTACACGGAATAATTTATCAGACCCTTAAAACGGAGAAACTTGTTTTTATACACTGAGATGATTTGTGAATATTTTGCTTTAAACAAAGAAAAATGTTTTTTATTTTTATATTTTCTTCAATATTTACTGAACTGGTAGAAAGTCATCGATGCTTAGGGTATATTTTATTGTCGTCACCATCTACGTCTTCAACATCTGAGACAAATAATATTTGAAATATTTGTAAACATATATTTCAGGCTCAGAGGCTCTATTTGCTGTGATGGCTATTGGTTGAATAAAATAACAGATACGTGTGAAGGTAAGATTGTAGAGTAATATTTTTAAAATCTACTAGTGAACCAGTTACAAGTGGTTTTTATTGTATGGGTAGGAGAGGTTGGGTTATTTTCCTTCTATGTCCTGCTGTTTTTAAGTTCTTTCTGGCTAAATTGTACTCCATTGTTTACCTATAAAATACACAGCTTGATGCTTATCTTAAAATAGAAATTAAGAAGGGGGGTTATGGAATCGAATTTGACATATTCTTTTCATTTTCATATAGTGTGTCCTGTGGGTTTGTTTGGGAGAAATTGCTCTAGACAATGCCCGTATCCAACCTATGGAAAAGACTGCCAGTCACACTGCTATTGTGAACACCATCTTTGTCACTATTACAGAGGATGTACAGAAGTCGAGGGTGTGTATTAACATTTATGAAGTCTTTATTCATTTATTTCAGAAAATGCATTCAGCCCCGGTTTCAGTTAAAAGAAGATATGAAGTTTTTTTGGAAATCACTTGCATATATATGTTTTATTTTCACCAGTTTATTCTATACGCGAGAACGTGATTTATGTACAAGCAATTTTTTACCAATCAGTTGCCTCCGATTTGTTTTAATAAATCCTTTTGAAAGACTTTTAATCGATATTAAGACATTGTCTGTATTTACTGTCTATCATGAAATATATTATGTCGAATGTTTACTGATGAATTTGTATACAAATAGTTAAGCATTCATTTCACAATGACCTGTTTACGAAATTTTCCGTTTACCCGATCATGACAAGGAGTACATGGCGGATGTGACCGTACAACAATAGATGCTTTTTCCCTGTCACCTAATTTCAACTTTGGTGTTTTGAAATATACTTATTTGCTCTACGCCTAATTTGAATTATTTCAACGGAGCATGAATCGTCTTGTTCGTTATCTTTATATATTATTTACGTCACAAAGGTCTGTCAAGCATGATTATCATTGTATAAGATTAAGACGAAAATGAACACATGGAAGGATTTTTTCAGATATTTATTATTTAGGCACTGTAGATTGTTCTTGCAACTAAAACTCGTAGAAGCAACAGTTTGTGTATATTTGCAAGAAATAAACTTTGAATAAAACATGGGTATTTATGATCCATAGAAGAATACAAAGTAGGAGCAGAGCAACATGGACCTCTAAAATATCAGGATGGTATCAGGTGCCATGGAGGGTGTCCAGTCAACTCGTACACAAACCGAGTCGTACACAAACCGACTCGTACACAAAAAGTCAACTCGTACACAAATCAGAAGTCAGCTCGTACACAAATCAGAAGTCAACTCGTACACAACGTTATATTTACAATAGTTAGGAATTATTTTTATATAAATAATGTATAATCTAGAAAAAATGAAATAAGGACAAAAAGAAGTGTTTAATGTTTAGATTTTTTCATGAATACTTTAGTGGTTTAACATTTTAAAACGACCGTCCATGGCTTCTCTTATTGGGAATACATGTGTATAAACAATTATAATAATTGTTAAACCAACACAAGCGCGGCGGTTTCTTGGATCTTTGACAAACGCTAATTACGAAATGCTCCTAATTTGGTGTAAATTCCCCATGGTGTGAGAAAAGTGTTCATCCTGTCGTACAAATGTCCCTTAAAAAAACTTTTTTTTTTATTTGATAATTTTTTTTAAGTAATATGTGGATATAAATAAAAGCTGAAAACTAATTTTAAAATGTAAAATTTCCATATCTTGTGGTGATTTTTTTAATACAATGAAATCTACAGAATAAAAAAAAAATTTACCTCGTTTAAGAAATTGTTTATGCGTAGTTAAATTAATGCTTTTGAGTATTGAATCGTGTGAAATATATAAGAACTCCGTTTGCATGTGATGAAGATATATTGCAGGAAGTTGACAATTGAAAGTTAAAGTCATCCTGTTATCATAGAGCTTGGTTGTTAGATTTGTATGGAGGTCTACTTCAAGTAAAATATCAATATCCAAATATGAAAAAGATGTGTCAGACTCTTTTGTATCTTTTATCTCAAGCTTACCAGGATATATCGTATTGACATAAGAATGGAAATTACCATTGTTATAATTTAAACTTGAAATATGACGAAATGCAAGACTGGCCAATTTTGTGATTACAACATTACAAATATTTACATATTCTTTATATTATTTTGAAAAATTATCCCCTACATTAACCCCCTTCCCCGCAGTCACGCATTTTAACGCATATACCGTTTCCTATTTCTGACGCAAAATCACGCATTTACCGTTTCCCCACAATCACGCACTTTTCATGCACTTTCAAAAGTACATTTAATCTTCAGTTTAATGCCAATTCCCTTCTAGTTTATACTTGTAAATATCTCTTAAAATAAAAAAAGTTATAATCTGATTAAAATATTACGTCGTAATCGATTTTTAACGTCATTATTGAGTATAGATGACGCAATATTATTGATTTTTGTGAATATGAAAGAAATATCATGACAAATACGTCTCCAATAGCAAATTCCGATATTTTTCGGAGTCTTTATAATTCTGACCAAAGTTCAGATGAAGTAGAGACCGACAGTGACGAAAGTCCGTTTGATTATGACTCAGGGTCTAACTGCATTAGTGATGTTGAAGAAAGCGAGGGCATCGCACCAAATTGGACTTCAAGTTTAGAAGAAATAGCGCTCCCGCCTTTTCTTGGCCCCACCGGACCCACACATAAGCTGGAGAATGACACTAAAGAAAATGACTTTTTTCAGCTTATTTTCGATGTCGACTGCTTGAGAATATTAACAGAAGAAACAAACAAATATGCATGTATGCAGCAAAGGCAGAATGGTCAATTTTCGGGGGGTTATTTTAAAATTCGTAGGTTTCACTGTCGGTAATGCAAATAAATTGAAAATTTATTTCTTTAAAATAATAATACAAATATTTTTTAAAAATTAAAATTTAAACCTTAAAACCTAATATATAAATGATAAACATTTCTTGTTTTCAAATGCATTTTGATGTTCTTAAGTGCTTGCATGCGGGGAAAAGGTAAGCCATGATTACTTATTTATGTACACACGTGTGTACAAGCCTTATGCTGATGTTTTTTTTTTTAATTTTCTCTTCCTTCAATTGCAATCATGATCTTTTATTTTTACAGAAATGCGTAACGAAGATGTTACAAATATAGTTGGACCAAACGTAACCGAATTTGAAGATACTTATGGGTCTACACCCAAGGTTAAAGAAAATGAATATGTTGTAAAACTTGCCTTGGCCCTGATTGGAATTTTCGTACTGTTTTTTGGAATGTTTGCTACCACCTATATTTATCAAAAGTGCATCCACAAGAGAGCAAACACTATGAATACGCAAGAAAATAAACTTGATCGGATTGTCCATTATACGACGCTTAACTCTGAAATCAGAGAGCAAGTACTTGAATTGAATCAAGAACAAAGAGAAAGATTAATATTTGTCCGAACAAATGCAATGGTTTTTGATGGTGATACTTTTAATGAGGAAGCTGAAACAGGAAATATTTCTGCAAAACGGAACTTGGATACAAATAACGAAAACTTTGAGCAGGCCATAGAGGTAATACAGGAAACAATTGAAAAAATAAATAAAGGGGAGGAAAAGCAAGACCTGACATCACGAGCTTCTCCAAAACACATTTACATGGAAATTATAGATGACAACATGACGTCATATATAAACGAAAATGCTTTAGAAGATTTCAGAGAAGAAAAACATTGTACTCATAAGGAAGAAACTAGATATATGAACTAATAAACATGTTAATCTTACATAATCTAAGGAAATGTAAAGATGTTCAAAACATGATTTATCATTTGATGTGATGCCTATTGAACAATGATGTCGAAAATAGAAAACAATTAACAAAACAATTAACAAAACTTCACTTTAGTAAATTTATTAATAAAAAAAACTGTTTTCATTTACAGCTATAGTGATACTACTTAGCATTTATTATATTAACAAAACAAATCAAAAGTTTCCCATTTACTATATATTTTAGTTTTTAAAGTTACTTTGACAATATTTTTCAATTCTTATATATTACTAAAATATACAGACGGCACAACAAATTTAACAAAAATTGAAAATAACACATTTAGTTAGGTTTATCTCCAAATGTTTCATATAAGTAAAATGAATAACTCTAATCTTAAAAGAAAAAATTATTTTATACAGTTTCGGAATATGCTAATTTAAGTGAAAAGAATGTGTATATTAATCAAGACTGATACAGGACGGTAAAAAAAATTAAGTCATTCTACCATTTTAACTTTTTGGACACAGATAGCATACGCTTTTTTATCTTTTCGAATTTTCATACATTGTTGTATATACCGTGTACATGTACTTCTCACAGACATCATTTTTGTATTACACATTTCTCTAATTCTGCGAATTAATAACCTTCAACTCTCATATCAACATTTATTTCCCTCTTGACTCTTGGAGTACATTTGATACAATATTAAAATATTTTTAAAAAATTATTAGTACCAACCGTATTTTAACATCATTAAAACACTTTTTTATTCCATCATCTGATAATTAATCTTACAATACTCAAACAGTTTTTTTCCAACAAATGTAAAAAAAACATCATTTTAAACATAAGCAACTTTTTCTTATATTAGAATATTAATAATCTAAAGCTAAAGTTAATCGTAAAGTAAAAAAAAAAAAACAAGACCCCCCCCCCCCAAAAAAAAAAGAATAATTAAAGTAGTACGATTTGAACACTTTCCTCAATAAATAGCCGTTTTAATAGATACTCGCTTATCACCACTCAGTCACACATATATGATTATTTAAATCGCATACCAGTTCTCTTTATTCAAGAAGTGTAACTGGTGAAGATTAACGCAACTAAATTTATTTTTTTAGGATTATGACCTCTGTGCTTTATATGTCATAAATATGCTGCATCACTTATTTTCTGCACAAACATCATCTGTTTTAATACCTGCCTCCCCTATATATTCTCATCGTATTTCTTTTCAAAAATGAAAGAAAAATGTTGGATGAACTTTCGTAATACCACTTTAGTATGAAAAGCTTCAGCATTTGTTCTTTTGATATACCGGGGGTATTATATTTGCTGATAAGATCATTGTATCGACCATCGAAGTGATGATCACCTTAAACGTGATTTTTTACATTTATTTTTAAATTAATTTGTTTGTTAAATGTTTCCCTCGTTTTAGAAATTGGCCGTATGTAGAACTTACTCTTGAATCAATCTTATATAGCTTAAGGTTTTTACCTCTATTCCCAACTAAATAATTAAAGCATGATTTTTCTCGAACATATTCTTGAATGTACAAGTACTCCTGGCTTTAGTTTCTTCTTAAATTCTGTTAATAATCAGCGAAGTATAAAGAAAGAGGCTTGGTAGAAGCGTGACTCAGTTGAACACGCTATTGATCTGAAGTAATCCAGTATGAGTGTGGTAATTCAAACTAATTTTCATTGTCGTGACTTTTATAAAATATAAAACTGACAAATGATTTTGAAGAATGACCTTTTTCCAAAGGGAGCTTTGTTTGTACTTTGTTTTGATTATCAGTAGTTTAACGATAACAACCAACTACCCCACTTGTCAAAACACCATTAAAGTTGCTTTGTAAGGTCCTTGTCACAGAGAATGGATATTGAGTTTCTTATGGCTTGCATGAGTTCTTTGCGAATCATCTTTCTCGGATTTGTTATGTGCAAATTATTCTTGATTTCATACTCTATTTTAATTCTCGAAATCCTTGCTTGAATGAGGTTTGACATTTCATGTTGATCAGTCATTTTACAATAAAGTAGCTCTCTTACATGTTCATAAGGACTGTCTTTGCACAAGTCTAGTGCTTTTTGATTTTTATTATTCGGTAGGTCTGGGTCCACGGAGTAAACCATAAAAATGGCCGAACGAACCATTACCTCTAGCTCTAATGCATTGATAGATTTATTAGTGGTTAGTGTTGACACTGCGTGGTGGATTGGAGAAAATCCATTATTATCAGTTTCTTGAAGGTTTTCTATCCTATCATGAATAAGAGCTAAACAAGTCAGAATCCTACTGTGTTTATCATGCTTTGCTGCTGTACTGATAGGAAATTCGCCATTATCGTTTTCTTTATGAATATTAATATGTTTTTTCCTTTGATTTGCATCTTTGATGAATCTTTTGACTCTGTTAACAGACTGAATATCAGATAACTCAGATTGCACCACTAGATGTAATATCGAATTTCCATCATGCATTTCATAATTGAGTACAATATCTTTGGTATTTTTCATATTTTCGCAAATTTGTTCTTTTGACATTTTTAGCAAATTTTCCTCTTTTGCACAAAGTTCACCAAAAACACTGAAATAAGTATGTAAATTTATGTCAATATCTTTTTCTTTCATCATTTCAAAGAGCAATATGGTTAGTATGGATAGTCCATGTTTGCTTATCCAGAAAGTAGGTGGCAAAGGAAATCCGGACGGTAGATCTGTCGTTGCAAGAAATGCAGTAAGGAAGGACTTTGTTTGTTCACTTAGATATCTGCAAAAACGTTCTGCATATGTGTGGCATTTAAGTGCTTTGCAGGCAAACACTTTAGAAACATTTCCTTTATTTACTTCTGATATAAAACGAGACACCAGTGCATCGCATTGGGTTTCTTCACACATAGAAAACTCACGAGTTTCTAGGATATCCAGTGGGAATACTTTGACTATATATTCAAAGTACTCTCTTAATAAGTAATCTCCTACAGCTTCGTATATAGTATTATGTTTAAATCTATAAATGTTTGATTTTTCTATGCCAGACAACAGTGTCCCCATGTAGTGAATTGCAATGTCTATTAATTTTGAAAAATTAAGTGGTTGTAATTGTTGAAGGTCATCGTCTAAGAAGTTTTTCATGAATTTCTTACATTCATCTTCAACTAATCCGACGTGCTCATCTCGATTTGTTGATCGATTTTTGAGTTCATTGAGAAAAAGAATCAAAAACAAAGTCTTTGTTCTTTGTGAACTATCGTTACTGATTTCGTGCGAGATTTCAGTCTGTAGATAAGTAATGGGATTAGAGAAAAAATTACTACCCATTGGTCTATAATTTTCATTACAAGCGAACAAATGTGCACAAAGTGGATATCCGATTGGTCCGTTTGATTGCCTGATATCCTCTCGAAATTTACTATTTTTATTCATGTCTTCAACTGGTGGTTTAATGTCTTTTACCTCCTCTGCATATTTCATTTGCCTCTCAAAAATTTCATCTTTTTCTGGATTTGTTAATTCCATATTTCTCATATTAACAATACAGCTAGATTTAAAAATCGGGGATGGTTTGCTCATATAAGCGCAAGCTGTTTCGATGATATTTTCCTTTGCTGTAATTAATAATCTAATTTTTCCTCCTGATATTGAAACAAAACCTTTTTCAGATTTTTGAATGGATTCATAAAAAATATTGTAAAAAACGTCCCACCATCGTTCTAATTCCTGGCTATACATGTACCCATCAAATATATTATCGATTAAAACAAGAGTATTTTTATCTGATTTCAAAAAGCTCATATCTTTCCAGGTATGAATCATGTGTTTTGTCCATGATTCGTAAGTCTTGTCCAACATCAAGTGTACTGCAGTGTTTGTTTTTCCACATCCAGGAAATCCAGTCATGATAGCTATGCCTTCTGTTTGTAGTAACTCTTTCACGTGTCGGAAAACTTTTGTTTCCACAAAATAGTTGTCAAATTGCTTAAATGACTCTAAATATTCCCGTGTTTTACCTGTTAAATGAAAAAAAAATTGTTGAAAAAGAGAAAAATCATCATCATCAATTGCCTTTGGGATCAAAATATCATTTAAAACTGTATTAAGGGATGAGACAAGTCCATGCAGATCTTACACAACTATATTTGAACGACAGTATAAGAAAAAAAAAACCAAAATTTAACACATGATTTTTTTTATTTACAGTTTGAGTGTTTCTGATTTTTTGAATAGCTTTAAACCTAAACTTTATTCATTTCTGTTATATCTATGACTAATTTTTTCATGTTATAGTGTATTGTAATTGCTTTAAAAATTTATATGTGCTGAAGTTTTCGTATGCCCTTTTGTCGTACATGTATAGACGTACGTGTTCCTTTGATTATCATTTCCTGAGCTTAAGGTATTTTTGTTACATGTACATTCAGAATAATTATACGGATTGGGTTATATATAAATGTACATTGTACATAAATCAGTCTTGTTTAAATCATCATTTCGTAAGTTCTATGGTCGATACAATGACCTTGTCAGCAAATACAATTTCATCATTGATTCAAATTCTGACGACTAACGTTTTTATACTAATTGTTATTCCATTATATATTCACTGAATTTACCACGGATTTTCCGTTATATTCCGATCATGACTAGGAGCACACGGAGGGTATGACCTGTCGGCAGGGGATGCTCAATCCTCCATGGTATCTGATCCCATCTCTCATATTTTGGAGGTCCGTGTTTGCACTGCTCCTGTTTTTGTATTGTTTTATGGATACTTGATCTTGAATGCTGTTCGTTATCTCCATATGTTTCATCCAAACAATCTCTTTCAAAATTCTTTAAAAAGCTCAAAAAAGAGAGTATTTGAGCGGTCAAAAGAAGTACTCACGCTCATTTTCCTCCGGTGCATTACCTGCAAAAAAAAAGTTATACACAAAATCACTGTCTGTCGTTTTTGTATTAAAATGCGTAAATCATTAAGGAAAAAATACCAGTTATCAAGAATTAGAGACAAATTCTAAATTAACATAATATATTGAATTTTATTATTATTTTAAATTATACTAAAACGAAAGCAGAAAATGATTTTTTTTTCTCTATAATTAATTTGAAATATATAAGTTATACCTTCATGACCCTCTAATGCCATTTCCAATAACAGTTTTCCTCTTATATTCGCTAAAACAGAATACATACTCGTATACCTGAATATTATGATCATTAAAATCATGTTAAACTTTATCATTTAAGTTAAATCTCAGAACATTTATTTGTCAAAATGAACTTTTGAATACCATTTTATCTACAAATAATGACCATCATGATATTTATCTGTCTTGACTTAATTATGGACAGATAAAACGCTTTTTTTAAATATCTTGAAATGAAAAAAAAAACAAACATAACAAACACAAGTCATGTATATATTTAAGTACCAGTCCACATAAAAATCAGACAAAACTGTAAAAAAGTGATACATGAAGGTTTTCAGAATTTTATGATTTTTCACTCATAGATTTATTTTGAAGTATGAACAACGTATGTAAAATGAAAAATGTTTCGAGTCATGGTAACCATGGAAACCCGGCCAAAGAAATTTCCTTAGCAACGGGCAGATTTTTTAGTGTTGAAGGACAAAAAATCACGTATCTCTGAGGCTTAAAATAACACGTAAATATCATGAGAATTATTCTTATTTATGGGTGTAATAAAGATACACATTTATTGTGTTCTAATAATGTAATAAAAATATTTAGGTCTTAAGTCAGTTCTGTGGTAGACATTGGAAGGTACACATGTTTTACAAGTTTTGCTGATTCAGCATTTTTCGTGATTTTGGCAATATTCAAGGCCAAATTTTAAAAATGGCCAGATTAATACAGTTGTTGCATGTATCTCACATAAAAGCAGAGGTATTTCTCTTTTAGAATTTGAAGTCAAATCCATGGGCTCTTTTGAAAATCGAATCTGTTGCCTAGCAACAAAAATGGGCTTTTTGATGCATAAAATGAAAAACAATGTAAAAAGTTTACGGAAAAATCAAATGAACGGTTATTTATGATAAACAAGATACAAATTTTAAAATAGTATAATTAAATTCGGTCTCCCTAGCACATTATTGAATATTGCATAATTCTTTATCTCCATAGCAACGACAGGTTCTCCATAGCAACAAGGCAAAGAAAGATAATTTTGGCGTGTATTCGTGTAATCTTATTAAGGCTTATTCAAAATAAGTCAGAAAAATCCGGTTGAGCAAAATTGACAATGAAATGTTGGTCAATCTTAATTTTTTTTCATCTTAAATCAACACATGGCAACGATTCCCAGTGCATGGCAACCAATGTACCCTATGCTTTCTGTAAAGAGATTTGACTTTTGGATCAGTGTTCGTCATGGAAATGAATATTAAATTAATGTGTTGATGATTGTATTTGTGGAGAGTGCTGGAACAATAACAATCAACTGTTGTCATGGCAACAACTACATGTGAGTGAATTTAAAATGGGGCGAGTTAAAAAAAACACAGTATAAATTCTTAAACAGAACTGTGACTGGGCGAATTTAAAACGGGGCAAAATTTCTTGTAAGTGTGAACGGGCAAAAATCATATGATACCAAATTAAGGATGTTTTCCATAGATAATGTTTTATGTAACTTGTACGATATTGTGGATTAGATTCAAGGCACTTACGGTGCATGGTTTCAATGGCTGCATTTTATTTCCGAAACTGTTTTCATTTCCGGTATTTTAAAGTTTTCATCTCTGACATTTTTCAAGCAGTACTTTTCTGCAATGAAAGTAGCTAGGATTTAAGACTTAACTCATGAAAAATATTACAGAATAAATCATGAATAAATCATTGAAATCCAAAATAAGCTTAATGAGTTTTGCAATTGATTGATTGATTGATTGTATATTGTTTAACGTCCCTTTCGAGAATTTTTCACTCATATGGAGACGTCACCGTATGCCGGTGAAGGGCTTCAAATTTTAACCTTTACTCGGAACTCAGGGCCATTGAGCAGTGAGGGATCTTTATCGTGCCAACGCCTGCCGCTGACACGGGGCCTCGGTTTTTAAGGTCTCATCCGAAGGGCCCGCAACTTTCACTTCAAAGTGACGAGCGCATGGCGAAGGAACAGTTGCTAACCATTTTAACGACTAGGTCAGTCGCGGCCGAGGTACAAACTCACGACCTCCCGATCACAGAGCGAGCGCTCTACCGACTGAGATACCGTGAACGTAGTTTTGCAATTGACTTTGGGTTATGTTTTAAACGAAAGGCCATGACATGGGGGGGGGGGGGGGGAGGTAGGTTCGATATTCAGTACCAAATTTTTTCGAAACAGCACCACTTTGAATTCCTAATTTTAATCCTATTCTGCAACATGTCTGTGGAAAGTGGGGGGCTAAACCTACACAGCAATGTTCAATGTCTATACTAGGAAAAGGCTAAGCCCCTAGCCCCCCGATTCCGACGCCTATGTAGTTTGGTAACTTTATAACCATAGACAGAGTAGGGGAATAAAAAAAATGTATTTCAACCACTCTAAGTAATATTCAGCATTACTCAGTAGTGTTCCCACCCCACAAGAACCCCTGACCCTCAGGTCCACACATTTCACAATTCTTGCTCATCATAAATGTTTGATTAACATCATGGAGTGGATTTCAAAGAAATAATTCATTTTTAGTATATAGTCAAAGACACCCCCCAACCCCAGCCCTCTATGATACCCCCGTTCCGGGGGGCTTGGAATTCACAGTTCTGGAAGAACGATCATAGCTATATCATAACTATATCATATGTTTGTAGTCAGTTTGTTAAATACCTGGGAGCAAAGAAGAAGATTACATGTAATTATCAAAGATTTTTTGCAATTTCACCATTTGATGATTAGAGCCCCACCCTAAGTAACACCAGAAATCCTGGTCCTTGCGCCATGAAATTCACAACCTGATCCTTTGGCCATGAAATTCACAATTTTCAAAGAGGCACTCTTCCTCATTGTAACTACGCTTGTAGTTAGTTGTTACCCAGGGACAGAGAAGAAGATTTTCCATTTTAAAAATGCATGTTTACTATATAATCAAAAGAGCCCTGCACCCTAACACCAGAACTCTTGGCCCCTGGGGGCACGAAGTTCACGATTTTAGATGAGGCACCCTTCCTCATCATAACTATGTATTTTTCAAAGAATTAATGCATGTTAACTATATAATCATTTAAGCCCCGTCCTAACACCAGAACCCCTGTCCAAAGGCCATGAAATTCATTACTGTATAGAACAGGAATTCTTTCTCATCGTAACTATGTACTTAATTAATTTTACCCAGGAACAGAGAAGAAGATTTTCAAAGAAATAATGTATTTTCAAAATATAATCTATTTAGCCCAGCCCTAGCATATAGAACCCCTGACCCTGGGGCAAAGAATTTTACTATTTTGATACTGTGTAGAGGACTCAATGCTTATTACAATCATTCCAACAGTTTCACTGCTTGATTTCTAGAAGTAAAGAAATGTTTAAAGACTGCATTAATTTTAGTGGTTTTGGTCCCAGCCCTCAGGCACCAGGGACCCTGAAATTCACAATTCTGTGTTCCTCTTTTACCCATAGATGGGTTATTTCAAATTTGGTTGAAATTGGTTCAGTGGTTCCAGAGAAGAAGCTAAAAATGTTCAAATGTTTACGACCGCCGAACGACCTACGACGACGAACGAACAGAGATACATATGTAGCAATAGGTCACCTGAAATTCTCAGAGGCACATCTCCCTTTTAAAGTGCAATTTTAAGTTTGAACTCAGATATGCAAGGATGGAAATTAAAAGGCATACAGAAACCACTTCTGGTAAATACAGACCCTTAGTAAGCAATTTCGGGGGTTGGGGTGGGGTGGGTGTTACAACCATATATTTTCAGTTTGGGCACTATCAACAACCGAAAATTCCTTGGCAAACAAACCAAAATAGAAGAACGTCAGATATTATTATTATTGAGGGGGCACATGTATATTGTAGTGAAGTTTTCAATAGTATTCTATAGCTAAGTATCGGCATGTAGCAGTGTCACAAGTTCAAGTTAATCCCCGAAGTCCGTGTTGATATGTTTAGAAACATAGCAGAATAGAAAATACAGTGAAAACTGTCCAATCCGTCCCCTCCCCCCCCCCCCGCTTCTTACACGGCCATAGGAAAAAACAATCATCGTTGAAGGAATTCTCAAAAGACAGTAGAATGTTTTTAATACGAAGACATCACAATCACGCCTGTACATGTAGCACAGGTAAAGATATTAATATAAGACGAGTATTATTGCTACTTGTATAAGTATGTATTGAATTATAAATATGTTTTTATTTTTTTAACATGAAATAAATTTAATTAAAATTTTTATTTCCAACTGTTTGGCAAGCAAAAGAATTGTCAGTAAGGGATGCTGCAGATATCCAAGAAATACAAAAAATGTCTAAAAATGAAATAAAATTGTCGGAATTGAAATTTTAAGCATGTCGGAAATCCTATGCAAAATACTGGAAATTAAATGCAGTGAAAGAAAACATGAATATGAAATGAGCAAGCACACAAAATTGTGTACACCTAATAAATCCCTTAACCCTGGTAATGTTTATCTAGCATATATTGTGTTCATTTGAGATAATTTCCATTTTTCAAAAGATAAGATATTTATAAGCTTGTATCTTTAACTTGTTGTTGGGAAGCTGACACTTATTCAGTTCACAAGGAATCTGTAGCTCTGGAGCTTCAAACGCTATTACCAAGAGAACAGGCCCATAGCAAAGCGTATCAAAGTAGTGGGAGCAACCCCCAACATCGCTCACCTGAGCACATGGGCTAGGTAAAAACAAATCAGCTCAGCACTCAAAAGTTTACTTGGGGAAGGGAGGGGGATGGACTTGAATTTTATACTTCTTGCCACCATATCAATATAAACTAGTGCTAGTTGTAACGGGGACCGTTACAGATGTTCCCCAAACGCTCCCCAACTCCCTTTTGATTCCATATTCCCTCTAAGCTTCATTAAAGAAGACAAACGCTATGCATTTGAGACTTTAACAACGTTTACCCAGAAGTGTACCAAGTTCATTCAAATTTTAGCATTGCACGCGTGCACAGGTGAATGCATGTGCGTAATGACCATATCATCTTG